GCATAGAGGAGCAATCAGCATTTTAATTGGCAGCTTCAGGGTTTTTTCCTCTTAAATTTATCAATTCTATTTTATTTCTACAGTTGTTTGTTCCTTCCTCTTTTTTTGCATGGAAATTAATCATGCAGGAAATGATTAACCACAGTGAGCTGTCTGTCTGCCTCTGACTCAATATGTTTAAGAGGGAGGGCCTTCAAGCAGCTCTTAATGGCTGACCAGATGCAAACTGTGCACTTGCAGTCTAGTTGTTCCCACTGTCCATCCCACATTAAAGGTCATTTTCCTTTTTAGCATTTGTCATGCTCCTGAAATTATTTCTGAAATATCAAATTAAATCTGAAATACTCAGGATTTCTGTTTCATGGTATTCAATGTAGTGACATTTTTGCACATTGCTCTTCATAGATTACTCTGTGGAGCAAGGGGCTCTTTGCAGAATGCAATATATGCTTTCTCTCGCCTCTATTTTGGTTTTTAAAGGATATTAGCTTTTATCATTATATATTGTACATCACAATATTTTTATATCGTTCCTGATAGCGACTGCCGGGTGTGCCTGGTAGTTTGCAAAAACGAGAGCTTTCTTAGGCAGGTATTCTTTACTTAGGCATCTTTGGAGCCTGTCGTTTGCTGGTGGCCGGGCTGGCTCTCTCCAAAGGGAGCAGCCGCGGGCTCTGTGCACAGCCCTCTCGAGAAGGGCGTGCAGGAGGCTCCGGGTGCGGTGCAGAGCGGGTGTGGGGATGCGGTGGGTGCCTGCTCATGGCGACAGCAGCCCAGGGCGACCGGGGCTGGCTCTCGCAGGAACCGGCGGTGTGCGCGGTGCCACCGGCGCCTGCTGAGCAGCGGGAGAGCAGCTGCTGCCGCTGCTGCCAGCTGTGGAAATCCTTCTCTCTTGCTGACAATACAGACCTTTGTGTTTGGCGCTCAGTGGCCGATGCTGCAGTGTACGTGTGCGGGTTAGTCACCAGAATCCTTTCTGCTGCACCACCGATGCTCATCTAGACATAACATTAACATGCAGCTCTTAAAAGCTGTGATAGCTTACACTGCAGCCTAGAAAATATGTTAGGACACGTGTCCTGGGTTTTCAAGTATCAATACACCTTCAGTCTTTTGAAACTGGGTCCTTTTTAACACCCTGCAACACCAAGTGTTATAACCAGCTTGGTTGTTAACAGATTTGATGGGTAAAATTTGTTACTGGGTGGATCGTTTACTATTTCAGGTATTTTATAGTGTCAGCTGTTAACAATTGAACATAACATCCATTTCTTAAATTCAGCTCTTTCCCACTGACCAAGAGCAAATAATGATCTGAGTCTATTGCTGAAGTGTAGGACAGTAACCAAAGCTTTCCCCTAATTGCAATTACACTTAACATTTTAGGACATCTCTATGCTACTGGGAATTAGTGATGAACAAAGCAGCTGCAGAATTCAAGTTTAGCATTGTGCTGACTCAGCTGCTTTGCTTCTGCATCCCAAGAGGTGTTTCTCATCCCCCTACACTGTGGGGGCAAGTCACCAGGTCACCGCACCTCTTCAGAACATTATTATTCTTCCTACAGGCTTGTAGTGATCGAATTTTAAAATCCAGAGTACCTTTTTTTTTTTTTTTTAATTCTCCTTACAGTAAGTCAGACAAAGAAATAGATTGTACAGAATCCAACCGAACAGCAAGGGTGAGTTGGAGCTTCAAAAACAGAGGTGCTGTTTCTTCCTGTGAAGTCTCAGCTTGAGTTTCTGAAATTCTCCTTTTTCTCAGCAGAAGTAGAGTCAGAGTGACAAAAGTAAGAATGGTGTTGTAACTTTGGTTTTAAACTAAAATTTGACAATATGGGGTGTTTTACTGGCTTTGTAAGTGTATGCAGTATACATTTTTGCATGGGCATGCAGGTTTCTGAGTCAAACCATGTGTTCTCTTTTCTGATGGCCCCTAAAGGAAGTGTGTGCTCTAGAACATCACAAGTAAACAACCCTACAGGATGCTTGCGTTAAACTTCAATGCAGTTTTGCCTGAGTTTATCTTACAGAAGCTTGTCCTGTGCTTCTAAAATGCCATTTTCCAGCCTACCTTTGAGGCCCACAGGGCTTGTTCAGCAGCAGCTAAATACTAAGCTCACCATTGTGCAGCTGTATGTGCCTAATTTCCACTCCAGTTCAGTTGAAAAAGCCCCTCAGTATCAGAAATACTAGCTACTGTGCAGCTAGTGACTACAGGTACATGTAAGATGGGGTAGGGAAGGAGGGAACACCTAGTGCCTTTCTCCCCACTACCTCCTTGCAAATCGTCTGCGCAAGGGAGGGCGTTGGAGAAGCCGGATGTGTCTGTGGGTAGTGGCTTCCCCTTAGAGAACTCAGGCTTCAAGCATCACCTTTCTTCCCCTCTATCCCCACCAATCCCTTAAGAAGCTGATCTAAAGGACATAAAAGTAGAGCAGAGCAGCCCAAGCATGCAGGAAGCAATCTCTTAACTGACAGGGAGGTAGACAAGTTATGGTATTTTACAGAAAGTGCTTTGTAGACCACCTGACTCGCTGCATTCAGGTCTGAGCTGCCTTAAGGGATTCATTTAAAAGTCTAATATCAAACCAAATTGTATCTGCCTGTTCCAGAAACCTTCCTGAGATACATGGAGTGCCAAGGATACTCAGTACATTATCCAGACTGCTGTGGCCTCTTAGCAAAGCAGTGCAGAGAGCAGACTTTCTCTTTGTAATCAGTTGAAGCAGTTAAAAGCTTGGTGAAATACCCTCATGGCACAGTTAAGCTAGAGACAACAGCAGCTGTGAAAAGACTGTGTTAAGAAACAGGATGGTTGTGGTCTGCTGTAAGAAATTATTTTCCTGTTGACTATTTTTTTAAACAGGAAGTTGAAGAACAAAGCAGCATTAGTCTTGGTGCTTTTAATAGGCTTCAGATTTCAAATATTGCATTTAGAATATGCAGATTGGGAAAGGGTCAGGCTTTCTGAAAAGTTTTATGTAACAACTGAGAGCTAGAAATAAGGAAGACAGGAATATAACTGAATTCAAGCAGATCCTCTGAATATGAAACTGTTGTTTCTCTGGAAATGCCCTAAGATGCTCAGTAATGTGCCAAAGGACTGATGAGAGCAGGCTGGTCTCTTTGCAGGACTTTGCGAACGCGTGCATTTGCACAGCCGTGCGTAGGCTTGGCTTCAATGCAGTTTCCTCTTTGTCAGTCAGTCTGTCCATCCACCAGCTTCCCCTCTGCTCTGCTCGCTCTTTTGCAGTAACCGGAAAGAGAAACAGTTCCTGCAGTATGGGAGAAGAAAACCTGCAAACAGCAGAGACAGTAGTAGTGCCTCACACCACTTCAAACTCCATGGTTTTTCTAGATATTTAGCCAGAGCTAGGGTTGATGTGTCTGACTTCTTTCCAAGCCCTTTCCTCCCTAAATATTTTACACAAAATCTATTAAAGTCTTATTTTAGAAAAGCTTTCTTCTGAGGAAGGTAGGTCAGCAATTTATTTTTTTTTTGGGGGAGGAGGGAAAGTTTATAGCTGTATTCTAATTCTTTTGGAGCATGAACATCTGATGAGATAAATCTGTACTTTCTGTACCATTTTTTTTCTGTCATAAATGTCATAGATCATGTTGGAGCAATGAGAGACATTGTAGGTCATGACTCACCTCAAGCCCTCACTGCAAATGCCATTTAGTTTCATTCAGCACTTTTTCCTAATGTTCATTTAAACTGTAAAGGGTACTGTACCTAGCATGATGTTGATTTGACAGATACTATGCTGTTACACTTCCCCTTGATTTCATCACAAAACATGTAAGTTACTTAAAAGGGCAAAAGCTGTGTATTCTTGTAAATAACTGCCCTGGGGACTTCAGCCATCTGCCTGGGAGTGTATGGAGAATAACCTGTATTCCTGTTCCCACTGTGTTTACCTGCTGCATGCAAACAATATAGAAATGGTGGCAAATCATTGTTCCTGAAGCTGGCTCAGGTGCATGGGCCAGCAGAAGGTGAAAGCTCAGGTGAAAGAGTAAACCACATGCTGAAATGCCACAGCACCATTAGAAAAGCCTCAAAGCCTCAACAGGCACAGTTCCAGTAAGCTGGGTGCCAAAACGCCACAAAAAGCCCTCGTGACTTAAAAAAATAGTCTTTGACACTTGGCTTTTCTTTTTTCTGTTATTTCATTTTTTTTTTTTTTTGCAGTGAAGTTCTACATCCCAGATGTGACCCTCCTAGGATTGTCTTAGGTTGAAAGTTCTGGTTGGAGTGTTGAAAAGTGGGAGCCTGGTCTCCAGTAGGGAACATTGTGAAAGGCTGAGCTTTAGCAGCCAGGCTTTTCCTCTGCAGCAGCCTGCAGCTGAGAGGCTGGGCTGCCTGCTTGCTCTTCCTCCTCAGGGAAAATGCACATAGCATGACTCTGTGTGCTACCTCTGAGGAGGAGGAAGGTGCATTCAGACGTGATGATGGAGCCTGGAATCTTCCGAGGGAGCAGGGAGAAAGGAAGAAGCATGAGTCTGTCCTAGAGCTCTGCTGTTCCACCCTACCCATAACAGCACATGTGTGAATCTTTTAGCAGCTGAAGGGATTTAACAGGTCAGCATCTGACTTTCTGAGTACGATCTTCAAAGTATGATATCTTCTTGAAGCAAGAGTTGATGGTGTAGCTATGGAACTATCCTGAAGCACTTCCAATGGAAGAAGATTGTTGGATTAAAATAGTACAATTTTGTTTCTGCATTTTTTGCATTGCATGGATTGTGTAAGTGTGCAAAACTGGATGTGTCTGTGAGTTTATATGTCAATGGGGATTATGTAGGGAGCCCCTCTTTAAAGATGCAGCTGGTTTCCATACAATTAAATATGAGGTGCTTTTTATATATTATTTAGACTTAGAAAATGTAGAAGATAAACCTGTTAGCTCCAAGGATGTTTTTTAGGTGAGTAGAACTTTATTTATTAAGATGTGTTAATCTCTGAGCCTTGTGTGTTTGTGTTTTGCTGTGCAGGTTTCGTAGCAAGAGCAGACAGAGCTCAGCCTTCCACCATGCCTGTGCCTCCCCCTCCCGCTCCCCCTCCACCCCCAACACTGGCCTTGGTAAGTTTTGCAGGAGGTAAATGTACCATATGCACTGTTCTCTACTGCTGCATGTCACACTTGAATAGGATGTCCAGAGATACGGAGGTGTGGATGAGGGTATGCACTGACATTTGGGGAAAGCTTTCCAACGTTTTGGTTTTGGTTGTTTATTGATCCTATGAGAAAGTCCATCACTTCCACTCCTTTCCAGTGCTCATATGGATGTCATCATCTACTCTGATTCTCCATCCTTCTTTCCCCCCCACACTGGTGCTTTGATCTGGTGGAGAGACAACAGCTTGTCTAAGTCAGGGAAATGGAAGTCTTGGTATCCCCTTGACTTTCTCCAGACATGTACTCCCATCTTCTCCTCTAGTACTTACGTGACCTGAGCTGGAAAAAAACCAGTCCTATTGTTTAAATTCAGTAAGGATAGTTCTCAGCTAGCACAGCTCCCTCAGCCAGCCTGTGGTATCAGAGCACAGGATCCACTGCTGACACAGTGGGTGAAACTACATTGGACCTGATTTAATTTTAAGCCTAAACTGAAGTAGATCTTGTGCTGTGTTTGCCCTCCCAACAGTCAGTCATCTCACTGACAAGAAGGAAAGGGCTTCTTGAAATGCCATTTTAAACTACTCAGATATTTTCAGAGCAAACCCCTAGCTGGTTATACAGATAGAGTGGGCTGTGCCTCTGAAGAGTCTTTCCCTCGTTTTCCACCACAAGTATGCACTCTGTGCTTGGTCCCTCCATGGAAACTCTCTCCATCTTTGAGGAAATCTCTGTAACACTGATCTGATAAGTCAGAAAGATTTTCAGAAACCACTGTTTCCAATGAGAGGCATATATATGGGCATGTATGTGTATGGCTTGAGGTTTTTTCGTTCTTCCTTGAAAAACTGTTAACAAAACCATAAACTGAAAAGAGAGGACCATTGAGACAAACCTCATGCATCTAAAGCTTTCATTTGGTTTAGACAAAGAGGTCTATATATTAAAGTGGCAATTGCCATTTTGAAATATTTCTATCAAAACTAAAATAGTAGATAAAGGTCCATCTTCCTTCTGATTTATCTAGAATTTGTATTTCACAACAACTTTCAAGAATGCCCATCTTCTTGTGTAATCAGATTATGTATGTAATTTGTCATAGATATGCCTTGGCTTTAAAAAATCAGAAATTCTGAATCTTGAGTTTAAAGAATGTGAATTCACATGGAAGCATTCAGTTTCTGGTGATTAGTGTGGGTTAGAATAGTAGCAGTGTTTGGGGCCAACTACCTTTAACATCATTCACAAAAATAGACATGGTGTGCTACTCACTCCAGTGCGGTCCAAACTGAAACTGGAGTCTCAAGTAACTGCCATATTTGAGCAGAACTTTCATCTAGAAGTTGAGGTTTATTTTGCCTTCTCATTTATTTTGCAGGCAAACACTGAAAAGCCATCCCTAAGCAGGTCAGAACAAGCAGGACGAAATGCTCTGTTATCTGATATTACCAAAGGAAAAAAGCTCAAGAAGACTGTTACTAATGACAGAAGTGCCCCAATTCTAGACAGTAAGTATGATTCTATATGTTTCAGTATCTATAGGTGTGAATGGCTTTACATATCTGAATGCAGAAAATTATCATCAGATGAACTGCTATGAGAGAAGCAGGTAAAAGAAAGTGCCAGTAGTTGGCATGCATAGAAGAAAATTCTGTTCATCATGGATGAATAGTCAGCTGAGAAATCAAGTACTGCTTATGAAATGTGAATGTTAATTTGTTCGCTTATCCTCATACAGCAGTTTATTTTCTTGTTTGCTTATATCGGAAAACTATACAAGCCCTACTAGGAGTTCTGCTGAGGAGCTGCAGCAGATCAGGCAAACAAAACCCCCATCAGGACTGAGGAGAGCACAGAGAATAAACTGGAATGTCAGACTTCACTTTTGCATAAACAATATAAGAATAAGTGCATGTCTGGCATGACACCATTGGCTCGTTAATGGCCCCAGTACCACTTAAAGCAGAACCAGAGCCACAGGCCACAGCTCCACCTGTGTGTCACTGCTGCACACAGTTTTACCATTCCTGGAGTGACTCAGGTGTATTATCTTTTTGGCTGAGCCCTGTTGCCCAGCCTGCCCAGCAGTACTCTGGCACAAGGCAGTGGCTCCACTTACTTGAATGGAAATAAGGTCTCCATCCATCTATGCTGCTGCTGTGTCTCACAGAACACCTTGGTCAGTGCTGAGAGGAGGCTGGAAAAGCCCATGTAGCAAAAGTATTGGGAAGACATAACAGAAACAGGAGAAGTGTGGGGAACACAGTCCTGCTCTGAGAGAGGAACAGGATTTATTGCCTAAGGAGAGAAGACACTTCTACAGACTGATTAGCAAATGTGGTACACCTCACTCTAGGTTTGGCCATGCAGTTAAAGGCTTGCACTGTGTTAGGAAGATGATGAGGAAAGCAGGAAATGCCCAGAGGAGTGGGACCAAATAAAAATAATTAAAAAAAAAAACCCAGTCCTGCAATCAGCCAGGTACAGTTTTTAAACACTTATTACCTCTGAATGCGAAGTTACATATTCTAGCTATTGTAGTGAGCTGGAGGGGATTAAAGGAGGGGATAAACAGTAAGATAAAAATTATGCAGCCTATTATCTTGTTTACATGAATTAACAAATCATGATGAAAGACTAAATCATAGTAGCAGCATTTCTCCAGAGGTTCACACCCTATGTGAGTCAGAGCCAAACTGAGCTGACGTGCTTGAGAAGGATAATGTGAAACGTGCCTCCATGGACACACTCTTCCTCCTGTTTCCTTGGGAGGGTTTTTAGAAGTGCTTTTCATCCACAAGTTTTAATTACCATAAAGTCAGTGAAATTATTGCCAACCCAAAGTTGTGGAAATCAAGATTTGAAGAGATGAAGCCATTGATCTTCATCCATGTAGCCCATCGTCTGAGAGCTGATCTCCACAGATATCCCAGCCTGTGGGCCTGCTCATTTGGCGGTGACGCTCTGAATAGGGCACTTCTCTGTATGGGTGGTTGAGGAAATACTTTGATTTTACTTTTAGCAACTCAGTGTTGTCACAGCAGAAATACTGACATTTAAGAGAAACAGGAGAGAAAGTGAGGGGGCTGATAAAATAATTCCTGCCTATTGGAAACATTAACAGCTAATGATCCTGTCACTGCATTTCTGAATCTACAGAAAAGTAATCAGAAATGGGATCTCTTTCCCTGCTAAGCTTTGTTTAGATAAGTAGATATGTTGCAACATCATCAATAATGAGAGATGTGTTCCCAGAAGCGATCACCAGACACACCTTCAAGAGGAAGGACCCTATGTCTTCCTCTTTCCTTTCTTATTTTCCATGAGATTGCCTTGTTTCTGCTTATGGAGAAGTGGAGGGCAAGGATAAGAGAACAGAAGTACAAAGAAACAGAAGGAAGCTACTAAGATGATAACAAAGACAACATGATATTCTAGAGGTCCCATCCATGCTCATTTCCAAATTCTCCATAGTGATTTTATCTGCTTTTTAGTCCAGAGCAGACTAAGGAAAGTGATGGCTTAATAAAACACAGCGGCTATGGTTATCACACCACCTCTGCCACAGTGCAATAGTGATGGTGATGGTAGCTGTGATGATCCAACCCTGTGTATCTTGAAAGCTCATCCATTTTTTCCCCAGCTACAAGCATTGCTCTAATGGAAGAGATAACTTTTCAGGATTAGTCTTGCTTCACTAACATGGAGGATTTTTTTTTTCCAACAGAACCCAAAGGACCTGGTGGAGGTGGCAGCGGTGGCTTTGGAGGAGGTGGTGGCGGCAGTGGCGGGGGTTTTGGTGGTGGCAGCGGTGGCGGTTTTGGTGGTGGTGGACCACCTGGCCTTGGAGGCCTTTTTCAAGCAGGAATGCCAAAGCTCAGATCTGCTGCAAGTCGAGATGCTGGTAAGAGACCTTGCAGTTCCAGTGCGAAAAAATAAATTACATTGCTTAAAACCTTCATAGCACAGCAATATATTACCTGCTGGGATTGAAAAAGCCATCAAATACCTTAGACTCTTAGAAAATGTAATTTTCAGCTCGAGTCTTGTTTTATTCTTACTATTAGGTTTTATGAGGGAGAGGTGGGACTCCCTTTCCACCTATCCTCTTAGTTATTGATGAAGACTAAAGATCTTGGCAGTGCTGAATTGCTGCTTGCAAAGTACAGTCAGGCAGATGCCAGGTCCTGCCTCAGCTGTTGGTGTGCAGAACTGGAGGGGAACATAGGAGGATCCAGGCTAATTCTTTCTTGTGCACCAGGAAAAAGGATCTATTTTCCAAACAGAAAGTACATCTGCATCAGCTCCACAACAGCGTCATTTGCCACTTAGGGAGCGCAGGAGGCATCCCAGCTGGCTGGTACACGCACTGCAGTTGGAGGCTTGTCTGGGGCAAGCACTGTACTTCTGACTGACAGAACAGCTGCCCAGAGCCTCATGCCCCTTGAAAAGGACATCTGGGGCCAGTGAGTTTTGTAAGTTTAAGGACAGAGGATTTCATGCTTGTTGAAGAAGGACGGTGCAATGGACATTGTAGAGTGTGACGAACATTACATATTTTATAGCCTAACATAATTTTTCAGCACACATACAAAACAGGCTCTTGGAGCTGGTATTTTCTATTGTGTCACAGTTTATTTTGGGACCTTGTATTAACACAAAAGTTCCTGGCATCACAGAACAGTACTTCTTCAACTGCAGGGCCTGCTGCCATCTTCCTGATGTGCACAACTACATCCTTAGAAAACAGCTACTAGGAAGGGCTGAAAAGAGTCTTTTGCCGGACTGTTGTTGTTAAATATAATTTAAAAGCTAACGTTTCTTTGTTCTCAGGTTGATGGTATCCAATACTTGTTCTTTACCATGTCTTCCCTCCCTGTGTCATTGCTTGCTGTGATGCCTGCATCACTTGTATTACTTTCCAGACACTTTAGTCGTCCCTCATAAGCAATATCGGGCTGTAACCTGCTATTGGAGTGGTTCCCCAGTGCCGCTCCGACGGCGCTCATGCCCCTGTCCTGTGTCCGCAGACCCCGGGGGAGGCCGCCCGCCCGCCCTGCCTCCCGGAGGCCGCTCCGCCGCCGCCGCCAAGCCGTTCTCGCCGCCGAGCGGCCCGCCGCGCTTCCCGGGGCCGCCGTCGGGGCCAAGGACCGCCGCCCCCGACCCGCAGAGGAGCCGCCTGCCGCCGCCCAGACCCGACGCCGGCTCCAAGCCCGAGGCGGCGCCGCCGCCGGTGCCCAGCACGCCCCGGCCCATCGCCTCCAGCCTGCACAACCGGGGGTCGCCGCCGGTGCCGGGCGTGACCCGGCAGCCCAGCCTGGGGCCCTCGCCCCCGCCGTTCCCGGGCAGCCGGGGCGCGGGGTCGGCCGGGCCGCTCCGGCAGCCCGGACCCGGGGCGACGCCCCCTTCCGGGCCGGCCGCCGCTGCCGCCCACCCCGGGCCGGCCGGCGGAGGACAAGCCGCCGCCGCCGCCTCCCCGCCGGGCACCGGCCGACCGCCGTCCGGGAGGGGCCGCTGCCCCCGCCGCCGCCACAGAACAGCAAGCCGCCCGTGCCTGCCGCCCCCGGCCCGCCCTCGGCGCCCCTGCGCCCCCGCCGCCGCCCCCAGCCGGCCGGGGCCGCCCCCCGTCCCGCCCGCCCCCTCCGGCGGCGACGAGATGCCGCGGCTGCCGCAGAGGAACATCTCGCTGGGGTCGTGCCCGGCGCCCGGCGGGGGCCGCTCCGGACCGCTGCCCCCGCCGCCCAGCGAGAGGCCACCGCCGCCCGTCAGGGACCCGCCCGGCCGCTCAGGTAGGGAGGAACAGGTGGGACCTTTGCCCATGCACGCACCGGCTTCACATGGGTGACAAACACATCCCAGGATGGCACTAGGGATTCTGCAGTTGCAAGCGAGGGTTTATGGGCATCACGATGGCTTAAGGAAAGTCACAGTGCATCACCAGCACGCTCACGTGTACTTTTGCAGATCTTGGTAACTTTCGTTATAATTACTGTAATTGAAAAGGGTTGCCAATGGGATTTCCCCACTAGGTTTTTTGATGCAGGGAAGCTGTTTTACCTGGCTTCTGGTGGGTGACAGCATTTGCCTTCCTGAGTCAACCAGCGTGAGTTAATGGTGGCACTCTTATGAATGGAGGTTTGTGGAACCTGGCCTTCTACGTGCTAGGAGGCACAAACATAGCCAAATACAAATTATTTTAATAAAAGACCTAGCCAACAGTTGTTAAATATAATAGCAGTTGTTTCAGTGTGAATAAATTGTTACTTACCATATGTAGATATCAAATTTGAAAGTAGAATTATCTCCTTTATTTCTCAATATACTTTGTCCTCTGTGATGACTATTGTTCATAACTTTTAAGAATTGCACATCATAGCTCAGCTCTGTAATACCTGATGTTTCTCCCTTTTGAGATGAGAGAATTTAGTCACAGCCAGGCCCTGAAACATCATGAGGAGAAAAGCATCGTCCAGAAGATAATGCTGGGAAGCTCAGCAGAGTTGCCTTTCATTTCATGCTTTGGAATAGAATTTTGAAATCATCTCAAACCTACCCAGTCCTAGATGATAGAAATGAATGTCATGAAAGCCCCCACTAGTAACAGCCATCTGTGCTGCTTTCCAGCTCCTTGAACCAGCCTGGATCTGCAGTAGCACAGCACCTACCGCAGCTGTGCAGCTACAGAAAATACTGACCCCGAAACCATGCTTTGTGGAGCTGGTTGCCAGCCCAAAGAATGGCACAATGCTAGTGTAGCCTGCAGTAAATAAATCAGAGAAGTCCTGACACAATTGACTGTGAGGATGGAAAGTTGCAGAGAAAGTTTGCAATTCCAAGAGCTTGTTCCATGATGGCCTCAGCTTCCACTGGTGCTTTCCTGGATGGCTCTTTTCTGAAGCAGATGGTTTTAGGAAGCCTAGGCTACCTTTCTGCTGGCTTAATAAGTAGAAGGAAGTTGTAGCAATGATGTATAAACATAAATACAACTATTTTGCAGTAGTTCAATACAGATTATGGAGTTTAGCTTGGTTTAGAGAGAGAGCAAGCAAAACTATTTTGAAAATTGCTAAATGCTTCTCATTCTTAGAAGCCATTCCCTGAAGGCAAACTTGAGTAATATGTAAAATAAGAAGGGGGGGGGAAATCCACAAAGTACAGCATGTTTCTTGAAAGATGTTTCAAGGCTTCTTTCTGAGAGATAGTATCTGTTGCTCTTTTTCAAAATGCATGTCTGTAGATAGGTTTCATCAGGACAGGGAAGCATTCCATAAAAATGAACATAATTGTCTGTTGCCCAACTGTGCTAAATAGAGGTAACAAGACTTTGAACATGCATAGCCCTCCACACCCTCTGCTTCACCTCCATGTGTCCTAACCATGGGTACCTCTCCCCCTGGCAGCAGCAGCTTTCTTGTCTTTATTTATTTTCCTATAGAAGTACCCTTCCCCTGCCCTCAGGACAGCCCTGGTCCTGTATTACGTGGGCTGTGCTTTTGTATTTGACCTGTCATGTCACTATGCCAGTTACTCAGATACACAAACACTGGAAATGGCAGTCTATGTGTGAGGTCTGCTTCGAGTTTAAAGGTAGATGGATATGCTCCAACTACTAAAAAATCTGTCATGCAGCTCATTTGTTTATAAATGAGTGAGCTGACGTGATGCAGCTTAATGCTGCCATTCCTGAGCTGAACTCCCCTGTGTGCCACCACAGACCCAGGCTGTGACACTCAGAGGGGACCACCCCTATGAACAAAGAGCCTCCAGGAGTAGCAGATGTCTTCTACATGTCCTCTTGCCTTGCAATGGTACATAGAAAGGAAATGGGTTATGGTTTGGACCTCCACAGCACCCTGAATTCCAGCTGTAACTTCTTGTTGTGGCCACCGTTAAGTTAGAGTGCTTTAAAAGTAGCTTTGCAGACCAGCATTTCTACAGAGGCCTCTGTAGCTGAGCATAATGGGAATGTGGACCCTGTGGTATATTAATGGTTAGATATACCCTGCTCCCCTGAGCTGTACTCTTCAAATCAGCCCTAACTCCCTAGGGAGCCCTGGAGAGCAGGGAACTGGGTGATGAGGGCCATTACCCCTTGGGGCCAAGGGCCCTAAGACAGCCCTTCCTCTCTGTTTTTTTAGTGGGAGGCCTTGGGATGCAGGCAGTGGCTTGCCAGGGGCAGAATAACCCCTGGTGCTAACAGCATTTGTGTGCTTGCCTCTTACCTTGCTCTAGGCCCCCTCCCACCACCTCCTCCCATAAGCAGGAATGGAAGCACTTCAAGGGCTTTGCCTGCTGCTCCCCAGCTGCCTTCCCGGGCAGGGCTGGACAGCCCGAGAGGTGGGCCCCGACCTCCGCTTCCCCCCGACCGGCCGGGCTCGGCAGCACCGCCACCTCCACCTTCATCAGCTGTCAGAAATGGCTTCCAGGATCCAGGTGATGGTAAGCCATCCTCCCAGTTGTTTGCCTTTGATAGAAACAGTGTACTGTTTTGGCCTTAATATGTCAAAAAAGGTTTGGGATAGAGACTTTGTTTCTAGTGCTGACCTTTGACTTCTGACCAACAGAAGTATTACTGGGGTCTCAATCAACCCTGCCAAGTAAGAATCGAGTAAATATGCCATATATAGAGCAGAAGTGCAAAGTCATCAGTACAGTCTCCAAAATAACCCTTTCAAAAATACCCTGAAAAAAAAGAAGGGGATTGTTTCAACTCTACTATGAGTTCAAACCATAGCTACACTGACATTTTGGATGTCAGAACAAGTTAGATTACTCAAAGCTGAAAGCTGAAAAGCAGATGAGGGAAGAGATTGTCAGAATGTTGCCGAAAATGTCAAGTATCTATTTCTGCTAGTGTTTATTGAAAAGATGAGGTCCAAGACTGCTGTGTTTTAAAGATTCATCATGCTTTTCTTTTTAATTGTTTTCTATTTGCATAGAACAGATAAATCCGTCAGCTAATTACAGGAGGACAAAATTAGTATTTCTGACATTTTTAAGGTTAGAAAAAGCAAACAAAAAATAAAACTGTAACTCATGCTTTTGAAACATCATCACACATCAGATAAGGCAGGTGGGTCACAAATGCATTTTTTCCTACACAAGTCATTTGCAGGGTTCAGAACCTACAGCGCCTTTGCACACTGATTTCTGATTGCAACCATTGGGAGTAGACAGAAAAACTGGATCCCAGCAAATAACCACATGTACTAATGCCAGGTGAAACTTACTCAGCTGTTCATTATATTATGCAATAAAATATAACAATATTACAAGAAAGTTGTGGTTACAAAGTCCTGAAGCAAACAAGTGAAGTTACAAAGTTTAAGACAGCACACACTTTCTTCCTTAGCCCTTCAAATTCAGAACAGAGTTCTTTGAACATTTTCTATTATTTCAATGAAGAAACTTGTCAGCTTGCTTTATTCCTTAGAATCCTATAGACTCAGGAACTACAGGAAGAGGGCCCATGTAGTCTAAAGAGATATAATTGCAACTGCAGTATTTTCTTGTATTTTACACTAGTTACATACAGGATTCTCTCATAAATTTTATCAAAATGGCCCCAAATTTTCTTTTTCCAGTATAATTATTAAGAAAGAAAAAACACTGCTTATAGGAGATGCTTTTGAGCTCTGTCTATGACATATGAGTATGAGAAATTTTACACCAGCAACAAAATACTGTTCTGAAGTAGAAGACACTATGCAGTTCTGGTAGCACAAATATATGTATGTATGTGTTTCTGTGTGTGTTAAAAAAACAGATGTATTATACATGGATGGGAGCGTAAGACTCATTTCACTTATAAGTAGAATTATGGCAATTTTCCTGATCTGTGATTTTGCATTAAACTGGCTAAGTGATCAGTTACAGTTAATAAGAATTTTTATTCTCAAACCTAAAGTATCGTCTTCTCTGACTTGCTAACAGAATGCTGGTTCAAAACTCAGTTATGTAAGCATTTTGCAATATAAAACATGCATTAAACGTGATGTTAATGTCAATTTACTTTCCTAAGCTGTGTCAGAAAACTAATGAGTAAATTGCATGGGATTTTTTTCAGATGAATGGGAAAGCAGATTTTCTTTTCATCCTCTATCCGATTTGCCACCTCCAGAGCCATATGTACCCATGAACAGAAGTTATCCCAGTAAACTAGCAAGAAATGAAAGTAGAGGTAAGTTTATTTCATCTCTGCTGTTGGAATTTCAATGTACTGTCCTAAAAACAATGTGGATGGGGAAGAGACTGGATTCTGAGGTTTCAAGACTTCTCAGACTAACAGTCTGGCCACCCTTGCTCACCACACAAGAAAAGCTAAATGCAGGTTTGCAGGCACAAACCCTCTTAAACTTGTATTTGAGGGGGGAATTGTTTGTGTTCTAAGTTGAAACATGTACTGTAAGCGACCAGCCCTGCCATTATAGGCAGCCAGAACCACAAAATCCCCTAGGACTTCCTTCTCATTTCCTATCTAAATTCATGCACAACTCATTTATTCTTGTGTCAGCATCATCTCTGAGTTTAGTTTTCAGCCCTTCTTGTGTGTTAAACCCCTAGTATTTTTCAAGACAACAGTCATCTCCTCCTCTCAGTTTTTGTTTTGCTGGGCTGATTAAATCTGGATGTACTATACTCTGCTTTCAATCAGGGCTGCTTATGTATACATTTCAGTTTGATTTTGTCTTTTCCAATCAGAATGACATGCTGTTCCAGTTCAGGTTTCAAACATGTCTTCTACAGCAGCACAAATGTTTCCTGTCTTCATTAGTGGTATTTTGCCTGATACACCCAAGGATCAATTTACTTCTTTTGCAACAAGTGACACTGGTGGCTCATAGTTATCCTGTAATTGTCTGTACACTCAGATGTTTCTCTCCTGTTTCCAAATGATGAGGTTTTGGGTTGAAGTGGAAATTCCTCTTAGTCTCTGACCCTTCACTATGCCCTGTTAAACTTTCATCCCATTTGTATTACTCCACAAAGAGAGGCAAAGTAACATATGCATTTTTTTTGTGTGTTCTTACATGAGTTTGTGATGAAAATCTTCATATAGGGAAAAACATTAAGAACTTTGAAATGTTACTGTGTTTAGAGCTTGCCACTTTTCATTGAAATTTGCATGTGTTGCAAGTAGCACTGAGAAGATATGTGTTTGCATAAATTAGTAAAGCTAGCAAAAACTATCAATCTGTTTTAGGAAGGAGAAAAAGGACTGAAATACATGTGAAATACTTTACAGGCATTTGGGGATAACATTAGTTAAAAACTTCATTTTACAGTGTTTAAAGTTCTGATGTTGTTTAATAAACTAACTAGAAACTCTACAAAGAAATTTTTTATTTTTTAAATGGCCAGGCAAGGAAAGTAGTATGTCTTCACCAGTTACTGAATTAATTGCTTGGATGTAAACTCCCATTTCAAAAGAAGGAGTATTCCAGGAGGAGTAACACAGAAAAACCTTTTTCTCTTTTAGGTGGCTCTGTCCGAAAAGAAAGAGGTGCACCCCCGCTCCCACCTATACCAAGGTGAAATGGGTTCTGGCCCATCTTTGGGCAACATCTGTTTTCAAGTTTCCTTCAAGTCAGCTCTCCTGTCCACATCATTGGAAAGTTGCCTGTCTTGATTTATTTCCACTTTTGGCTTGTCAGCTGGAACAAACTTCAGCCTCTATTACAGAAGTAATAGATGCGGCTTAGGAACTATAGTTGCTCAAAGCTATGAATTTTATTTGCTTATACTGCAGGCGTTTTGTGGACCATACACAACATACGTGCACCATGCTCACTGTGTCCAACCCTGGCCCCTGGAGAGCTCCATGGGAGGTCTGGCTTTGAATTTGATAGAGCTTAAACAAAGCTGTTTCATTTACTTTGGGTACAGTGGCTGTATTATTTGAATCATAAAGTATTTTATGTTTAGAAAAACAGTTGCTGGGGAAAAACGTGTAACCAAGAGTCCCTTGGATCCTTCTTTGCATGCCTAACTTGGCCCATCTGCTTCTGCAGGCCATAGACCTACTACATGGTGACCAAGAGTTCATCCTTAACTTTTTCACTTCAGCTTAGCCAAGGAAATCTTAAACAATATGAAGCACATCTTGCCTCAAGAATGAAGTGTATCTGGCCTTGTTTTCATCTGTAGAGAATCTTCCAAAGAAAAACACAAGTGAAGAATTCATCAGCATAAAATATATATATCTAATGGGGTTTTTTTAATCCCTCTTTCCTAGTTTTTCAATAGTGTTATGCTTCCAGTGGCCGAATTCTTTCCTACTCTGATGTGGACCAAACCAGAGCCATCCGTGCCCTGGATTACTGTAATACCCTCTGCCTGATGCTGCATGCAAAGAGTCCTCAGAAAGTAGTCCTCCTTCATCCAGCATCACTAACACCAGCACCCCACAGACTGCTTTCCAGTTGTTTCTTTGGTACAATTAAATGGTGGGTTTTGACTTAAGAAGCTTCCTGGGGCTTAGGTCACAAGTCTCAGAGAGGTTGTGTTTGGCTTGCATTACGGCAGAGCAGCTGAGGTCAAAAATGTGAAAGCCCTTTGGTGTAGTGAAGGGAACCTGGGGTTTGTGCATTCAAGTGGAAGCATCCAAAATTTGCTGTCTCCACCGGTTCAAGAGAAATGGGAAGATATGGTCTTCTGAGTTTGCCATGAAGCCTGTACTTTTAAACTTTGTTGAGAGGATTCTCCACAGAAAGCTGCAATGCTTACATTAATAGAAGAGAGAGCGAAGTATTCTAACATTGTGACAAGTGGTTAATATGTTTAATGGCTTTTGTATTTTGTATATGAGGAAGAGTTCATTGTACGACTGAATTTTACAAGTGGATCTAAACACATATAAAATGCCTTTGGAAATTAGGGGAAGATTATAATTCTGGATTTGAAATATTGCTGAATGACATATTGCTCTTTGTTAATTGGACCTCCAAAGGTTAGCTCTGAAAAATTTCTCCTAAGCCTCAGTATGCTTCTTCAAAGTGCTCCTTGGGATCTCTACCAAGCCTGTGTCAGCAGCCATGCTTCCCTGGGTGTTGCTCAAGAAAACCCAAAACCCATAAAAACTAGTCATGCAGGTTAAGAAAATGTTTCTCTGGCATGGGAGATGTGATCCTAAGTACATTCTGCAGCTAGAATGAGGTCAGTCCTTGAAAACCTAGAGAATTTAGCCAGAGAGTCTGGACCCCACTGCATTGTCTATGCATAGGGCTTTTTGCTCTGTTTGTGAGCGTGGAGGGGCAGATCCCCTTTCTGCCTGACAGCCTGGCCAGACACATTGAAGGGCATGAGGCAGAGTTGGATTTGGCCAGATCAAATTTAATTTGTTCTTTCCAGTGTTTGTTTACAAAATCTTGTTAGCTGTGATAGATTATGTACCTGTTTTTTACATTTTTATATCTAATGACCTATTTTAAGTTACTGTTTATGGTCCTGAACCTGCAATTAAATGCGCAGGCGCAGGGATGTATCTACATCTAATTGCAGGATCGTGGCTGTAAGAGTTTCTCAAACAGATACTGGTGGGACCTCCATGTGACAGGTGCACCTTGGGATCAAACCTAGCGCAATATTGAATTTGTATATGTATTTTATGAATGTCCCTTAAACAAAGTGCCTGTTTCTTTGGGATATTATTATGTGAATAGAAGTCCAAATAAGATTTTTAGGATAATAACTTAAAAGATAAATTATTGTATTCACATTTTTAAACTGAAGCACTTAAAACTTTCTAAGGGATAACATTTTGAATTTAAGAATACAGTATTTTTAATATCTTGACCTGCCAAATCTTTATTAATACCCAAATAGCTATGCAGCCAAAAAAACCCCTCAACCCTCCAGAAACTGTACCTTTTTTGAAACTTATCTGCTTCCAACATGACTGTTTTATTTTGATAAGTCAATGAAAATGCTGCCCATTGTTCTGCCAACTCTCTGTATCATTCAAATATATTATATTTGATCTTTCAGCAAGGTTTTCTGACCAGAAACCTGGACCACTACCAAAGGCTTGGAAAACCAACTTCAGTTTCACTTTAAAATGTGTATGTAAAAGGCCCTCAGTTAACAAGCCAAGAAACCTGAGCTGCCTAGGTTTTAGCGATTCTTTTTACTCTAGAAATCTCTTCAGAATGAATGTCTGGCATACATGTAAAATAGCTTAACACTGCAGAAAGAGGCATTTCTGTTCGCCTAACAACAACTTTTCTATTTATATCTTATGCTATAGATGTCCCTAGATATATTCCAGAACAATGCAGCATTTTATCATTCAATATATTGCTTCATATATCAGTAGCTATTTACGATATGATCGGTATTAAAATATTTATTTCACTATGAAGTGTTAAAAAAGAATAATACGAAACAGATTGAATCAATGGTGCCTTACGACTTTTTTAGTCAACTTTTCTGTGTCTCACTAGAAAAATGAACAGACGTTGCTCTTCCAAGTCCTGACAGAAATGGTGCCAACAGTAGCGTTCTACAGTGTTTGAGCCAAGCACTGCTGTTACATGCCCAGTCGTCTCACTTCAGGTGGAGCTCAGTGTGTAGGTGAGGTCTATGTGGGCACTGATTAGCTTCACAATCAGTTGTTGGTATTGCTCTGAAAGTTTAACTCTTTCGCAAAACCAGTGTCTGAGGCTGCTGTCCACACAGCCCAGCTGACTTCAGTGTGGTTGCATAGGTTGTTACAGGACTAAATTTAATTCACTGCTTGCATGTAAGATTTGCTGGGTTTGTTTCAATGGCACTGCATTATAAACCTTCACACCTCAAACTATCCTGTTACATTATCACTAAGACTCATATTGTGTTACAATGGCCACAGATGTTCATTTTTGTTTAATTCAACTCAGTAAATAAAATGAGAATAACTTTTATACCATGTGAAAATGATTTCTCCTCTATATTTTTGGAAGAAAAGCATGTTATGTTTCTGCACCAACCAGTGGGAGAAGAGGTCACAGTGATTAATATTCAAGTTGTTAAAGGAAATGAAGCTTGTGATTCAGGAAGCATATATTTCTGTAAATGAAAAAAATAAGGTCGGAAAGTTCTTGTTTAGAAGCCAGCATTTCCCAACACTAAAAGAATCATAAGAATTATTTTTTTTTTCTGCAAGACTGAATTGTTAAAGAAGTTCCTTAAATTGCCACTTAAAAAACTGGACAGTAGTTACTCCTTCCAGCAACAACTGTTTACATGACTCTTATAGAAGTAGATCTGCCTTGGAACAGAGAATGAAGGAACTAAACTGCTATCATGCTTTACATATATTGTAACAACAATTTTCTGTGCAGATGTATGGAAATAGAAAGGGTACTTTTTGCCTTGGAAGCAAAGAATGAAATTGAATGATCAAACTGAGATTATTTGAAGCAGAATGTCAAATGTTGAGAGACCTAGAGAGGGCCCCTCAGACACAGGAGGCTGGAAAAGAGAAGATTGGTCTGAGAAATTAAAAACAATTGGCTGAATGTTGTTACCAATTCTAGAGTAAAAATTACAGTGTAAAATGTGCATGTATGTAGTACCACATCACGATAGTGTGAATACCCTGTCTCACAGCCAGGTGCAAACAACTTATTATGGCGGTACATTAACTCTGTGTAACATATATTGTATGAACTTTAATCTTTCAAACAGTATTCCCCAGAAAATAAGGAGAATCTCTCACCTAAGGTATCCAGAAGCACATTAAGTTAAGTTCATGGAATGCTTCTTCGTGTACATCGGGAGAAAACAGGGATCTTGTAGCCTGTAAGATGGATGTGACTGGACCATTCAGTTAAAATGTAAACCTGGAGCATTGGCAAAAAGGGGAGTGTTGGAGTAACTCAGCCAGAAGCAGGGCACATGTATATGGTCTCAGTGAGTGAGTATGCAGCAGGTAGGTATGCAGACTAAAAGAGAAAAATGGAAACCGCATGTCTTACGAAAGGGAGTAGCCCTTCAGTATGCTGCCATTTTGAAATACAGTTTGTCTGTGATAAATGTTCTTTAGTGTAAACTAATGCATGCAGAGGAAGACATATAAATTTGGACTTCCAAAGCCACACAAGAGAGAGAAATGTAAAACATAGGCTGAGCAGAAAGTAACATGTTTTTATCAGATGCTTAAAGTTTGAGCTTTTTATAAAATATTAGTCTAGTTCTGTGAATTTTTTTTGCTTAACATTTATTTTGTAAGTGATTTTGTTCTCCCTATTTTTCTGTTCTATACCAAATAAATTTTACTTTTATTATAATTGGTGGTGCAGACTGTTACATTGAGAATAACCACAGTTGCTTCTTTGACAAAAGCACACATTGGCTTTAACAGGACCATAGCAGTGAGCCTTTCAGGAGCTGGTTGAGCTGTTCTCCTCCCCTCCTGCCTGCCATTGCACAGCAGCACAGCCATAATGCTCAGAGGACTTTGGTCCTACATACAATGAAGATTAGACACCTGCAGATAAGGAGAAATAATGAGTTTACTTTAGGATAAAGAATGATTGAAAATCAGTGGTCAGTGATGCTGTACTTGTAGGTGGCTGTTGGGTGAGCTGTGGGCATTGGCTCTTGGCCAGGCAAGCTAGGCAGTTGCCATGGGAAGAAGACATGGAAAATCACTCTAGTTAATGTAGATTTTTGTTCATCGTGTCTCCATTCACTGGGCAGAAAGCTGCCAGAGAATGTCAAACAAATAGAACCCTCCTTTAGACTGTGGAGACCTGTTTTGTTCATGGGTGTTAACCTTTTCAGATAATTTGGACCATGTTCATGAGAGAAAGACCCTTTGATGTAGAAGTCCAAAGGAGACTCAAATTCAGGCTGCACGTTCGACTTCTCCTCAGAAATTAGAAATGTAATTTAAAACCCTGAGCTAAAAAACCTCTGAGCTGTAATGCATCTATCTTACAAAGACTGAAGCATCAGGCTTGCTCTTACACAGGTGGTGTATCCCTTGACATCTCTGGGGACTGCTTGTTGATACGTTCATTTTACAGACTGACTGGGACAGTGGCAATTTTCTTAGAAGGCCACGGACACTCGTGTAGCCCAGAAGCCCAGCGGTCCCGGTGCCTGGGCTGTATAAATAGAGAAACCATGATGGAGGGCAGAGGGTGGAAGCTGGTGAGCTGTAAAGGAGCTGGCTCAGCAGGTTGAGACCTCTGTTTGCAGATCTCAGTGGCAATAGCCTTGAACGAGGACACAGAGGTATGTAATGACCAGGTCGTAGGACTGTTTTCCAAAGGAAATACGGTTCTTTCTTTCAAGAAATTAAATTACTTGCTTGACTTCAGGAAGAAGGAAGTGAACTGAGCATGCTGTGACCTTGTCATAACCACAATATAGTCCTTCCTCCATTTAACTCAAAAAAAGCTGTTGATTTAAAAGAAACCCTGAGACTACACTGTAAAACGTTTTTGACTGCTCCCTGCAGTTGCAGGAAGGCTCATGTGTTGCACAGAGCACACATAGAAATATGCAACTCCTTTGATCATGGTTCAATGATTTCCAATGACCTTCCTGCCTCCTGTGCTGTTCCTTTCTGCCCTCTCACCCAGTCTGACTCCATTTTACATTGAACGTAGTAGATTAGTCCCAGCAAATTACAGATTTGGGGGACTAAATATTGGCCCATACATTTCTGTGCAACAATTAATGTCTTATTTAGGTTAATTAATGAAATAGATCAAGAGCTACATTGGCAATCAGGCTCTTAAACTATCTAAAAACTTCAACAGCAGTCCAGGTACAGAAACAATCCTGAGGAAAGGATAACTGACACAAAAATATTTGATTAAACAGAAAGAATAAATTGGGTGGCTGCTGCTAACAGTACCTTGTGTCCAACATCTATCTGTCTACTGAGTAATAACATCAGATAATATCTTCTTTAATCCTAAAACATGTTTATGGCTTAAGATATATGACTTCTGCAAAAGCTACATTCAAAATGTAAAATAGAAGTCTATCATGAATGCTGTCTATATGATACTGCCAAGCTTTCTATTCCACTGCAGTAGGGCTCTTTACTCTTTTTATTCCCCTGCAAACAAAAGAGATATTTCTTCAAGAGTGCTGGGATTTAGCCTACATAAATACCTTTCTCATTTTCAATATCAAACTGCTCTTGTTATTTATTTTCTTTTTTCTCTCTCTTTTTTTTTTTTTTTTTTTGCTAGAATACAGGAGAAATCTCTGCCTGAGCACCTCTAAGTTAAAGGTAGGCAGAAGGGCTGAGGACAGAGACATTCTGGTTGCTGTGCATCCTTTTTTTCTCCAAAACAGGAACCAGTGATCTCTCCTTGCAGTCAGGGCAGGGCTTTATCACTGTCCAACTCCCTTCCGAAAGGGGACCACTTTGGCTACCTTTTGCATTTACCTGTGTGCAAAAATTGGCTCCAGGCTTGTGTGAACGCTGTACACGAGGCAAGTAACCAGTTCCCTTCTGAAAATGTTTTTGTGTTCACAAAAAGATGAGCGTTTAGTCTGTGGGTGTTGGGTGTTACCCAACTTGAAGGAAGCATTCATGTATACAGGGCTGTGAAAATGAGTCATTCCTGTCCTTCTCCATTCTAGCAGAAATTTTAGTAAATTCAGTGAGCCCTCATGTGCCCTGTGGAGCAGCAGAGCTCCTGCATCTAAAGACTGAGTACTCTGAAGCTGTGAGAGCAAAGTGCAGCTGGAGCAGTCAGAGCACTTGTGAAGAGAGCAAGGTAAAGGCTGTGGGTGAAAGCCCAGACTTAAACCCCAGCCTCTGTCATATGTATGTTGATACTGGAACTAGCATACCTCATAAATGTTATTTGCGCTGTTTCTGAGACTGCAGAGCCCGTCAGTACTTTCTGTGCTGTCTTAACACCAGCTCTCACTGCAGACTGCTCAAATCCTTCTGTTGAGGTTTTTTTTTTCCCGTCCCTACTTAAAACAGAAACTTTCACTTCTGCTATTTGACGAGGAGCTTGGGTTACTTACGAAATCTGGGAACCTTTGTTTGGAAACATAAAGATATCTGTTACTTTCCTCTAATTATATAGTTTCATATCCTGAACAGTACCTGCAGGACTGCTGCTGTGCCTTCATCCAGCTGCCCTGCAACTGTGGGGCTAGTGTGTTTGCTCCAGATTACTTCTTATTTTAAAGCAAAAATCCTGCTGTGTTCTTTAAGAGAATTACCACATGCCCTGTGTGCCAGAACCTTCATTTCTCCCTCTCTTATACGTATGGCCACTTGTGAGCAAGGGGAGAAATTGTAAATATATGTTTTAGCTGCAAACGTGTGTAATATAAATCCTAGTACAAGCACGCACCAGAAAATGAGAAGCCTTGTTTGTTTGTGTTTGTTTTTAAGTAAGCAAGTGGGAACAGGTGCGATGCGCCCCCAGCCTGGGAATTCTCTTTGTGCTGCAGACGCTCATTCCCAAACGACCTTTCGCGCTCCAGGGGCGGTGTGGATGTGAGCTCCGGGTGCGGCCGCTCGCCTTCTCCTGCCCTGCCCGCCCGTTCCCGGTTCCCCGTTCCCGGTTCCCGGCCCTGGCCGTGTGCGGTGCCGGCCGCCAGGTGCCGCTCCCGGCCGCGCTGCCTGCCCGCGCCGTCCCGCCGGGAGCGTCCCGGGAGAAAAGTGGAACCTGGGGACGGCGGTCTCAGCTGGGAATGTTCGCTGCCCTCCCACTGCGCGGAGGATCAGCAGCTCACAACCTCTGCTCCTCGAGCTTAGCTACCCACAACAGGTGTCCCTGCCCACGGCCGGGGGCTTGGAACTAGGTGGTCTTTAAGGCCCCGTCCAGCTCGAACCATTCTGTGATTATAAGATAAGGAAACGCACACTTCAGCATTTTAGGAACGCTACTCGTTGTTGGCACAGCAGCGATTTCACTCCAGGTGCATCCGGCCTGACTCTCCGTGCAGTTACACAGCTCTTAGGCAAGTCAAATTCCAGTACTGGCATAAAAATGATGCAACAGGAAAACACACCTGATTCTACATTCAGTTCAACAGAAAGCAGCATGCTATCAATGTAAACAAATAAAGGCTTTAGCTAATAAAGTTTACCTGCAGCTGGATAAGGTGGTAAGCGTTAAAACAAAATACCTTTTTTTATAATTGAAAATGCCAAGAGGGAGTAACAGAGAGATGTAAGAAAGCTACTCTGACAATACTGCAGTCTTAAAACCAATATTTACTCAAATATTTAACAGAAGAAAGAAAATTCTTTGTATTTTAAGTCAAAGAAATAGAAAGCAGTCTGGAGATACATAGGAGATTAAAATATTTGCCACAAATTTAAATGAAATGGCAAATTGCGGAACATAACGAAGAAAAGGTACAGTAGCTTTCTGCAGAAGAATTCAGGAAGAAGAGAGTTTGTTTGTATAGTCCTGTGACACAGTAGTAGAAAGGACTGAGTAGGTGAAATGAATAAGAAATAAATAAACAAAAAATTATTTCTATCACATTTCTACCACAGGAGACTATGCACTGCTATCAATACATTTCTTGGACAATCTTTAAACTGTATTTGTGTAATTAATAAATAGTGGCTTGAAAAATGGTGGGATATGGTGTGATCACAAATGGAAACTTAGTAACTGGAGATTTGGGTCATATTCTGAAAATATTTCCAAAGCTTTTAATTTGTGATAACAAAATTGGGTTTGTGGTTTATTTGTTAATTTGGGAGAGGGAGTTGGCTTATTTGGTGGGGTTTCTTTACTAATCAGTTGCTTGCTGAATAACCTGCTACAGCCAGCTACACATCAGAAACAGCTTATTTAATCACTGCAGCTTGTTTTAGTGTGGTTTTCCCAAGCAAAGCAACATCTACTAACTTGTGTACAACACTGCTAGCTCTTCTGGTTTTGTTAATTTTGGGGGTTTTTTGTGGGTTGTGGGGGTTTTTTTGTTGTTGCTGCTTTGCTTGGGGTTTGGGTTGGTTGTTTTTTGGTTTTTGTTTTTTTGTTTTTTGAGGAATCAGGCCAAATCTGAGTAGTCTTACAGTAACTGAGCACTAAGAGTGCTGAGAACTTGTAAGTAATTACTTACCTATGTCAAAATGAATGAATAGGTTTTCTTAGGTCAAGGAAAAGCTGTAACTCTTGTGTCCTATATTTAATAATTTCACCACATACTGTTAGCCATGTCAGTATGTGAAAATATAAAAAAAATACTTTGAGTGTCTACTTCAGTAGATACAACTCTAACCATATGAGGCAAATGGACAAGATTTGATCATGATTTTCCAGATAAAGCATTAGCAAACACTAAGCTAAAATACTAATTTCTTTATGTGACTTTTGCATACTTTTTTTTCCCCCAGTCAGACTGGTTAACTATAGAATCTATTTTTGAGTACTTGCATTTGACTTCAGCACATTTACCTTCTTACAGAGCTAAGTAACCAATGACGGAATTTGCACTTTTAGGAGCTCTCTTCAACACTGTTTTGTCTCCCCTGAAAGCAATTTCAGAAGAAGCTTCTGGTATTGAAATTACATGGGGTAGTTCTGAACTTTACTGAATTCAGTGCAATCTAATTTGAACCTCTTTCTTTACTTTTTGCTTTAGAGAGCTGAATTTCACCATACACAGTGTTTACTGTGCTTAATTACTGGAGCAATCTATTTCAATAAACCTGAACATACATAATTATTGCTGAAGTCTTAGTTTGACTTTCTGCAAGCTGACTGCACTGGCTTTATGTATTTTCTTTTGGCAGATACAGTA